CAGTGGTTCTCAACCTTGGCTGCACATTAGAATCACCTGGGAATCTTTTTAAAATCCTGATTTCTGGGCCTCATCCTCCAGAAATTCTGTTTCTTTGTTATGGGTTGAGGCCACAACATTAGTAACAAAGAAACAGAATTTCCGGAGGATGAGGCCTGGAAATCAGGATTTTAAAAAGATTCCTAGGTTATTCTAATGTGCAGCCAAGTGAGAACCACTGATATATAAGAAACATACAGAGAGAGAAATTGATAAACATAGATTGGAAATACAGATACATGTATAGGCATATATAGATATAGAGAAGGGGATGTGCAGAAAGACATATATAAATATGTATAAGTATATATAAATTCCATAATGTTCCGTATTTAAATAATTTTATTATTTATGAACCTTTTAAATTTTAACTTATGAAACTTCATTTATGCCAAGCCTGACACCAAGCTCATAAAATCTAATGACTGGTTATTAAACACAGACACAGAGAAGTGAAAGATCATTTGTTAGTGCTCTTTACTCAGCATCTGGGTGTTAAGACCCCAATACTGGGTGCAGGAAATGGGACCCTGTAGACCAGGCTGCCAAAGGTGCAGAGTCTAGCTCTGCTGGAGCCCAGAGCCAAGGACTGGGGATCCTCCGCTGTTTCAGTGGAGCCCCTGGGGTCCTTATGAGAGAGGCTGTGACAATCCCAGCGAGAGAGGAAATGTCTTCTGGACAGCACTGCCGAGGGCCCTGCACTTGCCATCCCTGTGTTCCCGCTGCCGCACCAGAGCTGGAGCGCATTTGCATGGCACCCTAATACACGTCTAATGTTACACACAACCAAGGAAACATACTTGAATCCAAGGACTATTTCACAAAAAGGTGCTTCAAAGGTTCTCCGATATCTTGGGGGAGCCATTGTGAACTGGGAATAAGGCACCAAGAGGTAGGTAACACCTTTGCTTGAAATTCATAAAAGCTGTGAATTTCAGAAGAAAGGGTCGAGCTTGTCACTGCCCTCCTGGCACTGAGAACAGGTTGCTGTGCCCTGTTCGGATGCCGAGAAATGCCAGGAGGAGAGGCTGCGGACAGGGCAGGTCTCCGGAGGCTAAGTCAGGTCTGTTGATGGTGGAGCCGTTTTCGTCATTCACAGTGTTGTGTCCTGCATTTTTATCGGGATGCCGGGCTTTCCCTCTCACTGAACTGCCAATAGTAAAACCGACCCGTTTCATCCTTATTTGATGAGGCGCTGACTGGGAACCCAGGCCAGGGCCAGGGCGCTGGACCACATTGCTGCTCAGATGCCTTCCAGAGAGGCGAGTGAGCTGGTCTCCAAGGCCTTGCTCTGAGCAAGATGATGATGGGAGCTCATTACGATCCTTTAAAAGCCGCAGCTGATTGGTTTTTGCTTATTTGCACGCAGTGTGACAACGAAGACGACTACCGGGAGGTCAAGAAGGCCCAGGGAGAGAAAGAGAGCTCTTCCCGGCAGGCCGCCTCTGCCAGTAACACTGTGTCTGCGAATCCTTGCAACATGAACGTCAGCAGGTGTGTGTTCCCTCAGGGGCGGAGGTGAGCTGGTGGGGTCTCTGGGGCTGAAGTCATGTGCCACCTGGGAAAGTCCGGTTTTTCAATGACTGCTCTGGTCTGGGTGTCCGGGCCTGCTCTCCTCGGGTTAGCCTAAGGCTCCTCATTACACTGAGATGTGCACCTTGGGTCACCGCTCGGGGTGTGTAAGTGCTTCTCTGTAACAAAAGACCAGTTACTACTTCCACAGTTCTGCACGCTTCCCTCTGAACGCTTAATAACTGGATTCTTAAATCATGATTTTAATAGCTAAGCTTAGGACACTACGCTTATTACACGAATGGAGAAATATAAATTTTGAGCTGAATCTCCATACGACGCACCTAACGCTCTTAGATGTAGACTAAAATCATGGTGTTGGACAGAATCTATGTCTCCAAGGTTAAACGGCCGCCTAGTGACGCCTCCACAGGCATTCCAGATGGACC